CCTCAACAAGATAGACACAGTGACTGTAGCAGTGGGCTCAATGTAACCAATACCATCTGCTCCATTAATTATACTGAGACAAACACATATATACACATACATCCCCTCACAAAAAAGTAATCACAAAGCAATATATGTATATCACTGCAGCACTGTTTACAATAATAAAGAGATGGAAATAACCCAAGTGCCCATCAACTGATGAACAACTGAAGAGGCAGTGGTACATTCACCCAAATGAATACTATGTAACACTAAAAATCAATAAATTCAGAAAACACTGCATAAAATGAAAACATCTAGAGGACATTATGTTAAGCAAAGTAAGAGTACAAAGGACTATAAGACTATTAAGACCACTATAGTAAAAACCTAAGGAGTTCTGGTGACCTTGTGGTAAGAAGCTTCAACAACCCAAAGGCAGGTGATTCAAATCCACTAGCTGGTGTGCAAGAAAAAGATGAGCCATCACTTCTCTAGTGGATTTTCATAGGCAGTATCACTAAAGAGTCAGCTGTAAGTCAGTTCCAAGACAATGGCATACAAAAACATAAAAAAAATTATGAAGTACCTTGTAAAAGCAAACCTGATAAACAGTAAGACCAATATACATTTTTAACATGATTGTTTTACCACTTTTGGATAATATTTCAAGGAAGTTATAAAAACTAGATAATCCAAGTTAAAATCTTTAAAAGCTACAGTTATGAATAGGAAACCTGGTGGCACAGTGGTCAAGCAAACGGAAAGGTTCATCAATCACAACGCTAGAGAAAGAGGTACTACAGTACCATTAAAAATACCCTATTATTGAAAAGATAAGGAATTTAAATGTGGCATCAAGACTGGAGGAAGACTCAGCAATAACTTTCGTTATGCAGATGATACAACCTTGCGTGCTTAAAGTGAGAAGGACTTGAAACACTTGCTGTAGAAGGTTAAATACTGAAACCTTCAATATGGACTGTATTTTAATATCAAGAAAGCAAAAATGAAAAAAAAAAAAGAAAGCAAAAATGCTTGCCACTAGCCCAAAAGGTATACTGCACTGGGAAAGTCTACAATTGGACCTCTCCAAATTAATGAGAGTAATGATGTCTGTTTGAGGACAAAAGTGCACCTGATTTAGGCTATGGTCCTTTTAGTCATTTGCTATGCATCTGAGAGCTGGATAAGTAACTAAACAGAAGAAGTGATGGTTTTGAATTGTGGTCCTGGAGAAGAGTGCGGAAAATTCCACGGACTGCCAAAAGAACAAACAGCTATTAATTGGAGAAGGTGCAGCCAAAGGGCTTCTTGTAGACCAAGATGATAAAGCTTCATCTCACATACTTTGGGGTATGTTGCTAGGAGAAGTTATTCCTTGGAAAAGAATATCACGCTTGAAAAGGTGGAGGGTTTGGCAAAAGAGAGGAAGACCCTCAACCAGGTTAACTGACATGGTGACTGAAGGAATGAGATTGAGTATGTCAGAAATTGTGAGGATGGCACAGGATAGGACAGTGTTCAGATCTTCATAGAGTCGCTATGAGTCATAGTCGACTTGATGGCATCTAACAGTAATGTTTGCTTAAGCGAGCTCTGATGATTTACTGGTAAGGAGTTGCGCTGTCAACCCAAAGGCATGCAGTTCATACCCACTAGGTGCTCAACAAAGATGAACAGTACTACCTTCCTCCTAGCCCCCCGACCTATGTGATTTACTGCCTCTGAAACTCACTGGAGGGTTTCAAACTATGAATCAATTGTGACTTGATGGTATATAACAACATGTTTGATAAAAGGAGCCTTAACAGAATAGTGATCAAAGTGTTCACCTGCTCACCAAAAGATCAGGAGTTCACAATCAATGCCTATACTGCAATGAGAAAATCTGCTGCCAAAGAACCCTAAAGAGCAAGGATGTCACTGTGTGGACTAAGGTACACCTGACCGAACCCACATTATTTATGTTTTTCATCAGATTCACAGATACCTTTGAATTGTGGTGATTGATAAAATTTTAAGTATACCATGAACTGCCGAAAGAATAAACAAATGAGTTTTGGGAAGAAGTATAATCCAAATGGTCCTAATATGAATGGTGAGAGATTAGCAGAATATCCTTAAATTGTTACTAAAATATATCACTGACAGTCATGAACTGGCTCAATTCTTTGATAAAGAAGACTTATTGAAGATTTCCTATGAACCTGGAGAGAGGATGAAAGGCACCCAAGCGTCGAGGACTCTCCCTCACAGGGTCGCTATGAGTCGCCTGCGACTCGACCGCACTTAACAACAACAACATTGAAGATTTCATCTTGAAACACTTGCTGCAGAAGATCAAAGACTACAGTCTTCAATATGGATCATATCCTGTTTTGTTTGTTTGCTTTTAAAATTATTTTTTTTGTGTGTGTACCATCAAATCGGATCTGACTGGTACAGGAGGAGATTGTGCCTCCTTCTCCAGCAGAGCATCTGGTAGATTCGAACCATGTACCTCTGGGATTGCAGTGCAGCTTCTTGCCACTAGGCCACCAGAGCTCCCTAATATGAATTATATCTTAACATTAAGAAAATAAAAATCCTCACCAGTGGACCAATTGGCAACATCATGATAAATGGAGAGAAGACTAAAGTTGTCAACAATTTTATCTCGGAAACAAAATCAACATTCTTGGCACCAGCAGCCTGGATATCAAAAGACTTATGGCACTGGTAAAGTCTGCTGCAAGGGACTTATTTAAGGTGTTAAAAGTAATGATGTCAGTTTAAAGATTAAGGTGCATTTGATTCAAGCCACAGTCTTTTCAATTACTTTCATCTGAAAGTTTAACAAACAATGACTAAGGATGACAGAAGCAGCATCGATGCCTTTGAGTTGTGGTGTTGGAGAAGGGTACTGAACAACCCACAGACTGCCAAAAGAACAAACAAATATGCCTTATTGCTATGTGCTGCTGAGTGGAGTATGACTCATAGCAATCCTATGAATAATAGATCTGAAACCTGTCCTTTCCTGCATCACTCTCATCATCTCTGACATACTTGAGCCCAATGCTGTAGTCACTGGGCCAATCTATCTCATTGAGGGTCTTCTGCTGACCTTTAACCTTTTCTAGGATAATGTCCATTACCAAGGAATGAGCCCTTCTAGTAACACTCCAAAAGCATGTGAGACAAAGCTTCACTATCCTTGTCTCTAAGGAGCACTCTGGCTGCACCTTCTTCAAGACATATTTGTTTGTTCTTTTGGCAGTCCATGGGATATTCAGTATTCTTTCCAACACAATTCAAAGGCATCAATTCTTCTTCTGATCTCCTTATTCACTGTCCAGCTCTCAGACGCATAGCAAGTGATTTATATATGCTTAGTCAAATACACGTTAGTCTTCAAACTGAGGATGCTCCTTGGAGACATGGACAGTGAAGCTTCATTTCATACTTTGGGCATGCTGTTAGAAGTGGCTGCCCTTCGAAAAGAATATCATGCTTAAAAATGTGAAGGATCAAAAAAGAGAGGAAGACCCTCAACCAGGTAGACTGACACAGAGATTGTAACAAATGGTCTCAAGTATAGGAGAGATGCCACAGGATGGGGCAAAGTTCAGATTTATTGTTCATACGAGCAGATGAGTCATCGTTGACTTGACAACACCAAACAAAAGCACCAATGAATGAGCCTAAGTTTACAAAAATGCTTAAAATTCTACTGACAAAAATAACAATAAACTACCATGATCAGTCAAATTCTTAAATGCAGACTCTATGCCTGCTAAAAAGAAAAGTGACAGAAAAGAAAATGTAGTAGTTCAAACATTGCTATATTCTTCAGGTCTAGTTAAGGAGAGCACTTCATTATTTTAGAAAGGGCTAGTATCTCACCAAAATGCTTAATAAAACTTAAAGGGCAAGTGGTGGGGAAGTTTAGTAAAAAGAGAAACACTTAAAACTTTGGTTTTGTATTATAGAAAATTTAGGAGCAATCTAAAATTTTTTAAAAGTGTTGGTTGAATAAGCTATAAAATACCAAAATGAGGGAATACTTGTTGTTATTAAAATTAATAAGACTAGATTAATCCATTTATAAGAGAGCTGGTGGTAAGGAGCTGTGCTGCCATCCCAAAGACTCAAGGTTAGAATCCACCAGATGGGTACTATCCTGTGCAATTTATGGCCTCTGAAAACTTGCCAGAGTCAGTTCTAGCTCAACAGCACACAACAACAAAAAAACACAACAACCCACCTATAATGGTGTGAATAAAGATCCCTGATGATGTAAAAAAAGAACAAAAGTAGAAACATGTACATACATTACAGTTACATTCTTATAAAAATTAAATCTTCCATCTGTACATACTTTTTAAAAGTTTGAGAAAATACAGCCTGTAAATATGGTTATGGGTCGGGAAAAGAGTAAGGGGTAGAGATTTTCATTTCTACACATTTTTGTGTTATGAATATATCTAATATACTATCACTTTCATATGAGCAAGTGTTTTGCAGCCATATGAGAAATGCTTACATTATTATGTAAAGCGAACTGTGTTTGTACCTATAACAAAATTAACAGCCACAGAAATTATTGATAATGAATAAGCACTAGGAAGGAACAAATACAGTAACATGATTATTTAGTGTGGTAGCACTGTGAATTTCTTTTTCCAGGTATGTGATATTCCCATTTGTAAATGTAGATCCTTCAAAGGATCTAAAATGTTTGTATGATAAAGAATACACATCTTTGGCACTAGGGTACTGCTTTCCATAAAATAAGAGCAAATTTTGTTATAAGCTAAATCAAGATATTTCCCACAGTGACAGAAATCTCCAAAAGAAAATTCCGGCCCTTAAATATAATCACTTGGCTTCGTGTAACATTTTGTAAGAGGAGCAGCAATAAGATTAATGGGTTGTTTTTTGTTTTCTTTTTTTAAAAGAAAAGATTAATGTTTTCCTAGTACCTTCAAACAAAGTTATTTACAAATAGTTTTTTTTAATTTTTTTTTTATTTGCTAATTGCTTTATAACCACAACAAACTGGTGCAGAGGAAGGTCCTGTACAAAACACAACAAAGGTTGAAAGATGGAGGCGTTCTCTTAGCAAGGATGAAGATTTCAGTCTCTGGTATTTGGAATTTAGGCTGCAGTCCTTGTTTTTTGGATGGATCACTGGGTGTGTGGGCACAGTCCATGCTTTAACCAGATTTGAACAGAAGAATGGCAACTTGGCCCAGGTAGAAGTAGATGAAGTGCTTAGTTTCATGTGTCACATAACTACCAAAGTTTCTCCCCACGATGCAGTGCCAGGTGGGGTTGTACTTCTTGTCAAACTCCTTCTTGATGTGGGCCAAGATGTCCTTCTCGATGTTGTATTTCTCCAGCGCCTGGGTCGCGCACTCCACCGAGTCCTGTTGCATCTCCTCCGACATGTCCACATTTTTGATCACCGCCTTTCCTTTCGGTCTCTCAGCATCTGTGATGGCTTTCTGTGGGAGGGGTTAGAGCGCCTCAAGCCTCGCACGACCTGTCGCCGCTCTGCCACCGCTCTGCCGCTGCTCCCAAAGCCGTGGCCGCATCTAAGTAACGCCATGCCAGCCAGCCTCCTAGTGCCCCGGCCCCACCCCACAAAGTTTTTGCTATTTAAAAAATATCAAAGTTCACAGAGTTATACATAAAAATACACAGTATGACCTCACTTATATAAAAAGACAAGAAAAGGCTAATGTATAGAGAACAAAGTCTAGTAGTAGTTAGCAGGAGTAAGAAGGAGAAGGAAAGAGAAAGCGTTGATGGTGATGGGGGAAAATCACATTAGAAGAGTAGACTTACAAAGCCAATTATTATAATTGTTATCAATAAGCTCTTTATCTATTTAGTTTCATGGAACAACTTAATTAATTGGCTTAATAATGTGTTTAGTATCCACATTCTACTTCCTAGGGGCACTGTGTATGCCTGGGGTCTTAAAAACTTGTCAGTGACCAAATAAGGCATAACAATTAGTCTCTTCACCTAGAGCAACAGAGGAAGGAGTAAAGTTGGGATATGAACCAGTGGCTAATTATCTCCAGGAAAAACTGTCTCCTTTGCCATGAGCCCTGAACTGGATGATGTCCAACGGTCATTACTAAGCATTTTGATAAGAAATTATGTAGAGAAATCAGATTAAAAGAGGGGAATAAGGGTTTTCAAATTCTCAATTCAAACTCTGAAACAGACATTCTGGGCCATGCAACTTTCCAAAACTATTAACGTTAGATAATTTTTAAACCCTAAACCAAAAATATACACTGAAGTCAATTTAAAACAATATTTAGCTTAACTAGTAAGAAAGGTCTGCCTTGAGAATTATGTTATTTTAAGATGGATAGTGAAGAGATTGAGAGAGTTAATAGTTTTAGTTTACTTGGCTCCACAGTCAACACTCTTGGTAACAGCAGCCAGAAAATCAAAAGACGAATTGCACTGGGAAAGTCAGCTGTCAGGGACCTCTCCAGAGTACTGAAGAGCAACGATGTCAGGCTGGAGACTAAGGTGCACCTGATCCAGGCTATAGTTGTCACAATTACGTGCTATGCATCAGAGAGTTGGACAGTGAATAGGGATGACAGAGAATTGATGCCTTTGAGCTGTGGTGCTGGAGAAGAGTGTTGAATATACCATGGACTACTAGGAGAACAAACAGGTTTGTCCTGGAAAGGGTAAAGCCAGAATGCTCCTTGGATTCAAGGATTCTGAAGCTTCGTCTGACATACTTTGGGCATGTTGCAAGGAGGGACTGGTCCTTAGAGAGGGACATCATGTTTGGGAGAGTGGAGGGACAGCGCAGGAGAGGAAGAGCTTCGATGAGATGGATCGATTCTGTGAGTGGAGTGGTGGGAATGAGTGTGTCGGAGACAGTAAAGCTGGCACAGGATAAAGCGGCATTTAGGGCTCTTGTACATGGGGTTGTTATGAATCATAAATGACTTGATGGCACATAACAACAACAACAACAAGATCTACCTGGGATCAAATTGACAGTAGCAACTTGAAAGATTTAAGGTGGAATCTGAATTATTCCAAATGCAAGGAACAACTCAGTAAAGGAAGATGAGAATGATCTCACAACTACATGAGTGTAATCAATGTCACTAAATTATGGTACATGCAGAAACTTAAACTGGAGTATGTTTTAACCTGTGTATGTTCAACTAAAAAGAACCTAAATTTTAGAAAATATTTCTTTCACAGAGAGAGAGAGAGAGAGAGAGAAAGGGAGATTGAGATTTAACCTGATGGAATAGGGCAACAATTTATGAGTAAAGAACACCAAAACGGCCAAAGTCTGAGATGTCAAGCAGAGACTACTCCTAGTGAAGAAAATAAGTATCAGTGAAAAGCTGACTCTTGGATTTTGTTGGCAAAATATATTCCTTTTCTACTTCTAAGAAAAAACAGAAATTAAAAGGTTATTGAAAAGGAGGAAGAAGACCCTCAATGAGATGAACCCACACAGTGGCTGCAACAATGGTCTCACACACAGCAAAGACTGTGAGACTGGCAGAGGATCTTGCAGTGTTTTGTTCTGCTGAACAAAGGGTCATTATGAGTTAGAATTGATGACTCTACAACATCTAACAACAATCTGAGGGTTAAAAATCCTTTTGCAGGACAAAGTCTAGTCATCTGACTTCACCAGACTTCACTAGTTAATTATCTAGGTCACTTTAGCACTCTGGGGACATGCAAAATTCCTGAACAAAGGCAAGATCTCTCTCATTCTCATTTCTGAGAGCAAAGAGAGGTACGGGAGCTAAAATTGGCTCTCACGTGAAAAATAGGAATTTATTCCATCAGTCTTTGTTGTTTGTTTAACACATGCAGTTTTACAAAATAGCTCATTGTCAACAGGCTCATGCCAGATTTCCCTAGAATGACTCCCCTTCACTATTGATGAATACAGCGTTACCATTATAGATGGGACTTTGGAAGAACACATTTCTGTAATCCATAGTTGAAATAACAATCATTCTAATACTGTAGAGGCTGAACCTGATGTAACAATAAAGGCTTAAGTCTCCCAATGATACCTCACCATCAGTTTCTATTCATTAGGCAATCACTGAGGTGCTAAAAATGGTAGTCACAGTGTGACAAAGCCCTTCAATGCTGGGTGTCTTTGGTTTGAAAAAAATGTATCTTAAGTGGCACAGTCTATTCAAGCTTAGCTGACAAGGCTGGATTAAACTGCTTGATATCCCTACAGGGAGGATTATTGTGAAAAACAAAGTTTTAAATACAACAGAAAGAAAGCAGTAGCAGGTGCCGGAAGAGACAGCACATCTGCAATCTCGATCACCTTACCAATTATACCAAGCTTAACGACAAAAATATAGAAATGTCCAACAAATAAACAAAACTTTAACCCTTCTCAGGTTTGACACTAGTTTCCCGCCACTGGCTGCATTTATTTGGATTGATTTTTTTTTTTTTCATACAGTACATAGAGTTATAGGGAGCTCTGGTGAACAAGTGGATAAGAAGCTGCGTTGCAACCTTAAAAGCACACAGTTTGAATCCACTCTGTCTGCACCCCAGGAGAAAAAGACGGGCAATCTCTTCCCATGCGATTAACTGCCTCTATAAAATCTGCTAGAGGGTCAGCTATGAATCAGTTTGGACTTGATGGTGCACATAACAACAACATGGAGTTAGATAAAAGCTACTATAAAACTAAAGGCCTGTCTATTAAGGCAGACAATCAACAACAACTCAAATTTGGGCAAAAAAGAGATGACAAATCAATTGTACTAAAGGAATGTCTTCTCATTCATCTATCATAGGTCACTTCTAAACCAACCACCAATATGTTCATATTGTGACAATCTTTAAGGAAAAGAGAAGGAAGTTCTTTTCACGTGTGCCTCACCTTCTTTCCATCCCTTCACAAATCTGTTTTTCTCTGCAAAAAGATCGTTATTTTTGTCTATTAAAAAAACTAACACTTTGATCATCAGTTAAGTCTCCCAAGTCTTTTCTATGCACAGCCTATCAGCAGATAGTCTGGGTTTTAGACTTTGTAGCATCCACTCATGGGCTAGTTGGTACTCCATCAAATGGAATAGTATTCTAAAAACCTTCAAATTGAACATTTAGATTATTTTTAACTTATGTCCTCAAATAAGAATCTTGTTGTTGTTGTTGTTAGGTGCTGTCGAGTTGTAGATGACTCATAGAGACCCTATGAACAAAAGGCCTGAGCACTGTTCATAGTTTCCAGAGGCAAGCCATTTCGGAAGTGGATGCCACTCCTGCTTCCAAGCTTGTTTTAATCGGGAAGCTCTACCAAACACAATAGTTACATGAGTAACTATTATTACATTTGGCCCATCAGTGTCACAATGTTTAGTGTCACAGCAACCAGGAATTACCTCTGTACAGCAATGCACAGACCAGTGCTATACCACCTAGAAGAATGTTTGACAAAAAAACAATCTGACCCCCTGAGGGCCGCAGAATAAAATCACGCACCTTGGGCTTGGTAGCATAACTTGCTTGTTGTCTACAACAACAGACGACATAGACAAATAAGCATACATTACTGAATAATTTTTACATTTTTAAGGTTGTAATTCTACTAACATTACCAGGGAAAAAAGCATACTGTGACCACCTAATTGTATTTTTGCCAAAGACAAGTAACTTCACTTTTTAAATTTTTTATAATTTGATCTATTTGTTTTTGTTCTTTTAGGAACAACCTAATTTTATCCTTAATTTTTTTATCTATAAAAGTTTCCCCCTTTTTCTTCCTGTCTCTAAGAAACTTTATATTAAAGAAGTTGTTCAAAACAACTATGAGTTATCATCTGACCCCAGGAAGAATAGCAAAAGTTAAAAGAACAGTGAGCAACAAATGCTGGCCAGGTTGTGGAGCAACTGGAACCCTTATTCACTGTTGGTGGGAGTGTAAAATGGTGCAACCACTGTGGAAGGTGGTATGTCGCTTTCTCAGAAAGTCGCAAATAAAAGATAGCATTTGACCCAGCAATTCCACTACTGGGAATATATCCCAAAGTGACCATAACTGATATCCAAGTAGATATATGAACACCCATGTTTATCGTGGCTTTGTTCACAATAGCAAGGAGCTGGAAACAACCTAAGTGTCCATCAACACACAAATGGATAGAGAAGCTGTGGTATAGTCACACAATGGAATACTATGCTGCACTGAAAAACAAGGAACTCATGCAACATTATTCAAAATGGGTGACCATGGAGGACATTATGCTGAGTGAAATATTTCAGTCACAAAAGGACAAATACTGCATGGTGCCACTGTTGTAAAACAGGAATGACATCGGGGTTGGGGGAGACTGAGAAAGATGGGTTCAATAATGTATACGACACTGAAACAGATAAAGGAGAAAACAGTTTAAAAGGGATATGTGATTAGGTATTTTTGTCAAGACAGGAATCCAGAGCAAAGCCTGCATAGTGGAGTGGACCTGGGGGAAGGGATTGTAAAACAATGAAAGAATTTTTCTTTTACTTTTCCAAGAGGGTAGTGTACTGGGGGGAGGGTTGAAATTAAAAAAAAATTAATAAAATAAATAAAAAAGAAAAATAGAGAGAGAAAAATGTTGTTTGTCACAGGCAGTAAATACTGTTGTGTTATCTCTCATTTACTGAAAGTTTATTTTTTTGATGGATAAAGGTTTTTACTTTGTATGTAGTTAAAGCCATCAATTTTTTTCTTTCATGAAATCGACCATTTAAAAAGATTAGAAAGGTAGTGTCAGAGAAAAAGAGGAAAACCCTCTACAAGATGGACAGACACAATGACTGTAACAATGGCTTGAACATATCAAGAGATGGTGAGGATGGCACAGGATAAGGCAAGGTTCAGATATGTTGTTCACAGAATCTCAGTCTCGTAATCAACTCAATGGCACTTAACAAAAATCATCAGAACAAGTTTTCTTATCACATAGTTATAGGCATATTTTTAGTTAAATTCTTTTAGTACTTAGAAAAAGAGCTATAGTAGAATCATTGAGTCATGAGGAATTTTGTTTACAAAATGTATAGGAATGGGAATCTAACACATCCTTCCAATGGTGGTTTCAACTGCAATTACTGAAAATCTTCCTCATCAGAAACATTACCCTTATGATACACTAATAATATGTACCATAATACATATTATATGTCACAGGAGAAAGATGGGCAATCTCCTCCTGTGCAATTAACAGCTGCTGAACACCTGCTGGAGGGTCAGCTATGGGTCAGTCATACTCTATGATACACAACAAGTATCATCATATAGTGAGAAGGCAGCTTACTTGGGGGTTAGGCTTAAAAATAAGCATATACTTCAAATAACCAAAGCATTGTAAGAACAAAGTAAGAGGCCTTACACTCTTGAATCTTAAAATAGACTATCCAGTTAGAACAATCACACAGCCTAGTACTAGTTCAATGATAGTCACACAGACCAGTAGATCAAAATTGAGGGCCAAGAAATAAACCCAATGGCAACCAATTTCTAACAAGAGGTCGAAGTCCATTCACTAGGGAAAGAAATAATTTCTTTAATAAATGATGCTGATAAAATTAGATATTCATATGTAGCAATATAAAATAGGACCTACACCTCGTATCTATACAAAAACTAACCCAAAAATGGGTCAAAGACCTAACTGTTAAATCTAAAATTATAAAATCCTTGGAAGAAAACATAAAGTCAAAATTATGTTACCTAATTTAAAAAAAAAAAATCTTACCAAAATAAACATATAATACAGAAATTTTCAAAATCAACAATTATTAATACATAAATAGCAGAAGTAAAATTAGATGGGAAGGACCTAATAAAAATTAAATATTTATGTATATTAAGGCTTTCCCAAAAGAAAAGAGAGTACCTAAAAACTAGAGGGGGAAAAAAATTCAGAAATTAGATGATAAGATTTCTAAAATTTACAGACAACCCAATTACAAAACTGGTAAAAGACCTGAACAGAAACTTCAACAAACAGGGCACTAAAACAGCAAATATACACATGAAGACTTGCTCATGGTGATTAGTAATTCAAACTTACTGCCAAGGAGTCTGAGCAGACACAGAGCTGACACTCCAGCAGGTTTCCTGTCCCGTAGAGGTCCCTAAATCACACAGTAGGTGATTACTCACTTTTCTCCCATGCAGCTGCTGGTGGATTTGAACCACCAGAAAGAAATGGCCTTTGCCTTTAGAGTATCAACCCAACTCTCTACAGATTATACCACCAGAGTTCATGAGCAATTAGAACTCAACTTGAATTTCTTGTTGTCAAGTGAACCAATGTATAGATGACATGCTAGTGGGTTTTCAGGAGTCTGTCTTTCTCCTGAGGGAGGAGCCACTGATGGATTTGAAGCACGTCTTTGGATGAGCAGCACAACTCCCTACAGACTATACCATCAGAGCGTCCCAAGCAACTGTTGTGTGCCTTCAGCTCAATTCATTCATAGCTGACCCTCCTACAGGTTTTCAGTAAACTACACAGGAGAAGACTTCATCCTTCTCCCGTGGAGGAGCTGGTGGATTTGAACCACTTGCTGTTGGGACTAGAGTCACCAGAGCTCCCTCCCTAAGCAATTAAAGAGATGCAAATAAAAACTATAATGAAATAACATCTAAAAAACAAAAAGAAAAACAAGTAACAATAAATGTTTGTGAGGATAAAGAGAGATTGAAACCTTTATTGACTGCTGGTGGGACTATAAATGGAAAACATACTTCTTCAAAAAACTTTAACTATTCCATTAGGTCACCTGTTAGTTAAATAACAGATTAGCTCATAAAATAAACAATATCACCCGTGAATAATGTGCTCCTTGAAAATATGAATGTAGATTTTAAGAGTCAACACAATGAAAATTACAACCAAGGCATTCAACAAGTTTTTAAGCAACAGGTAAACGGGAATTTAAATTTGCTGTGTAAACTTTGATTAAAAACAAGTATTATTTTACACACCCATGTTTATTGTGGCTTTGTGTGCAATAGCAAACAGCTGGAAACAACCCAAGGAATGGATAGAGGAGCTCTGGTATAGCCACACAATGAAATCCTATGCAGCACTGAAAATCAAAGAACTCATGAAATATTATGCAAAATGGATGACCCTGGAGGACATTATGCTGAGTAAATATATCTTAAAGATATCTTAATAAATAAATCTTAGTCACAAAAGGAAGAATATTGCATAGGACCACTGTTGTAAAACAGGACTGACATCAGGGTTGAGAGAAGACAGAAAAGGAAGGGAGGAATGATGTATATTGCATTGAAACAAATGAGGGAGAGATCTGTTTAAAATGGATATATGAATGGGTATTCTTCTCATTAAAAAAGTCCAGAGTGAAAGCTGCATTGTGGAGTGGACTTGTGGGGAGGGACTGCATAACAATGAAAGAGTTTGGGTTTTTTTTCTTTACAAGAAAAGTGAATGAGGGGGAGGAGGTGGGCAGGGAGAAAAGTACAACAATGAATGACTGGCAACCCTAAGCCTCTGTAAACTTTCATTAAAATTAATAAATAAATTAAAAGTAAAACCCTAAAACACCTGAATGGAAATGGAAAAAAAATCCCCAAAACAAAAACAAACAAGTATTATTTTTAAAAAGTTACAAAGTAAGCTTGACAAGTGAAGACCCTCATATGGTCTCAATTAGACTGGAAAATTCCTTTAAACATTCCTAGGAAATGAAAGATAGTAATATAATAAGAAAAACACAGGAGAAGATGCTGATTAAGGAAAAAAAATTTTATCCAATCATCTTACACTCTCTGGGAAGTATGTTATTGACTCAGTCACCCAATGAACAAAAGGCCTGAAGCCTTTCTCCAAGTTCACAGTTTCCAGAGGCATGTGGCTTAAGAAGTGGATGCCATTTGACCCAGCAATTCCTCTACTGGGAATATACCCTAAAGAAACCATAACTGACACCCAGGCAGATATAGGCACACCCATATTTACTGCGGCTTTGTTTACAATAGCAAGGAGCTGGAAACAACCTAAGTGTCAATCAACAAACAAATGGATAGAGAAGCTCTTCACACAATGGAATACTAAGATGCATTGAAAATCAAGGAACTCATGCAATATTATTCAAAATGGGTGATCCTGGAGGACATTATGCTGAGTGAAATATCTCAGTCACAAAGGGCAAATACTGCATAGTGCCACTGTTGTAGAACAGAAATGACATCAGGCTGGGGTGAGACTGAGAAAAATTGGCTAAATAATGTATACTGCATTGAAACAGATGAGGGAGAGAACAGTTTAAAAGCAATATATGATTGGGTATTATGGTTCTGACAAGAGTCCAGAATGAAGGTTGTATAGTGGAGTGTACTGGGGAGGGAGATTTTATGCTAATGAAAGAATTTTACTTTTCAAAGAAAAGAAATAACTGGGGAGATGGGATGGGCAGGGAGAAAAATGCAACAATGAATGAATGGAAATCCAAAAACTGTAAATGTTCATTAAAATTAATAAATCTTTTTTTTTTTTTAAAAGGTGGATGCCAATCCTGTTTCCAAACCTGTCTTATACTGGAAGCTCTACCAAACACTGTCCATCATGGGCAGCCATTACTGAGAAGTATATAATCAGGAAAATGGCAATAAGGAACCACTATTTAATAGGTACTACTTTTTGTTTTGTTTTTGAGGCGTATTTCCAAATGCCACTCTGGAGCCAACAACTAGTAGTTTATTACTGTTTCACTGCTACAGCTTTGTAACCTCATAGCTGACCCTCCAGGAGGAGGCTGTAAATTCTAAAGGATGAGAATGCTCATCTTTCTTCTAGGGAGCCACTGGTAGATTCTAGAGTAATGTCACTTCTCTGTTAGCAACACAATTCCCTGCCAAGTCTACCACCAGAGTTCCCTTTATAATTTCACAGGACATTTAAATATCTGTTGGGGAATGCCTATACTTTTCTACCTCAACACCATCCATTACTTCTGCATAACATTTCTCTAAAACATCTTTTAACTTTAGAATATTCTGAAACTTACCCAAAAGTCATACAAAAATTTGACTGTAGGAAGAACAGACATCTAAACTATACTGAGTCCCTGATTAAAGAACAGTATGTCCCTTAACTTGTACATGGCTTTTCCCAGGCATCTGAACATAATGCTTTTATCAACAGAGAACTCAGATATTTCTTGCACGTTTCTACATATTATCTATTGCTATTATCGATAGAATGTTTCATTACAACTATGTGTTCCAACTAATATACAGAATTGATTTTCTTCTTATATTTTAAATATTTATATGCATACTCAATTTACCAAACTTACTATTTGCTTAAATATTTTAGGATGAGTAACAACTGCTTTATACTCACTGCTTTTATTACAGGGGAGTCTGGGAGACATTATGCTCAATTAAATTATCTCAGTCACAAAAGGATAAATATTGCATAACACCGCTGTTGAAAAAAATAGGACGGGTGAGGACAGAATAGGTAAAGATGATACTGCTTTGGAAAAGATGAGGTCTAAAAGGAATATATTACATTACATATATGACAATAATCTGGAACAAGAGGTGTACTGCAAAGTGGACAGTAGGAATGGGAAGGGAAGAAAATATGTGACAATGAATTAAAAAAAAAGGGCATACAGATTTCCATTTCAGCTATCTCTAAGCCTTAAGTCTTTACAAGTTATTTGAAAACAATATAATTCTCACTGGTGAAAATGAATGTATATGAACTTTGTAAGTAAACCAGTATAAAATAAATTTAAAAAAAAATACCCTCACTGTTTGTAAACAATAAAGTTCAAAATACCATGAAATAAAACTAATGGATTATTTATATTCTCCAGCCCTTTTCACACTTCTAAAGCTTTATTTTGTCTGGTCCCTTCCTTGAGTCCTTGGCCTTACATGAAGTGCAAAGACCTAACATTCTGGTCTGCGAAACCTGGGACAGGAGTTGAGAAATGTTGTGCCCCAGCCCTCTTTTGGGGCAAGTGTGGCGCCCCTCACTCTCTCTCTCTCTTGAACCTATCAGCTTGCCCAGTGTCAAGACAGAGAACAGATAAAAGAAATGACCAACCTGAACCAGCTGCTGTGACAACCATATTCTCCCCTGGCTACTGGTCCTGGGCCATCCCAATCCAGCCTCTGAGCCCCAGATCTGAGCTCCTGTTCAGCAGGAAGTAGTCAGAAAGAATATGTCACCCTTTTTCTCACTAAAGAGGCTGAGATGTCAGGGTGGACCAAGGTCAAAGGGAGAACAGAGGATTCAAGGAATATCAACACTTCAACAAAGGGAGAGAACAGCCACAACTACCAAGGAGTGCCCCTTCCTTCCCTCCCTAGAAGGCCACCCACCTGGCTAAACCACAGTGGACCCTTACTATAAAACCTGTCCTAGGGTGTGGTATTTCCCTGTTCTGTTCCTCTGACTGTTTCTCTCTGTAGAGCAAGGAATCCCGCAAGAGAGACCCCTTAATGAAAGTTCTGCAGCTTCCAAACAAAAAAACCAAACCTAGTAGTGTAGCCAGTTATGTGTTGGGCTACTAGCTAAAGGGTTGGCAGTCTGAATTCATCAGCTGATGAGCAGGAGAAAGGAGTGGTGGTCTGTTCCCATTAAAGATTTACAACTTCAGCAATCTGAAGAAGGGACATCAAGAATCAGAACTGAGGGGGTTTTGCCGGGGAAGGAGGGACAATCTCCTCCTGTACCTGTCAGATCCAATTTGACGGTACACACATACACAAAAATAATAAAATAAAATAAATTTAAAAAAAAAAGAACTGAGGGGGTTGTTGCTGTTGTTAGGTGCCATCGAGTCAACCCTATCAACAGATCTGAACTCTGTTCTATCCTGTGCCATCCTCACACATTCTGACACCTAGAGTCCACTGCATCAGTCACCTTGTCAATCCAAGGTCTGTCTTCATCTCCTTTGCCAACCCTCGGCCTTTCCAAGCATCATGTCCCTCTCCCAGGAATAGCCCCTCCTAGCAACATGCCCAAAGTATGTGAAGCTTTATCATCTTTGCCTCCAAGGGGTACTCTGGCTGTACTTTCTCTAAGACATATTTGTCTATTCTTTTGGCAGTCCATGGGATGTTCACTACTCTTCTCCAACACGACAGCTAAAAGGCATCAATTCTTCTTCTGTCATTCACTGTTCAGCTCTCAGAAGCATACTAAGTAACTCCAAAGACAATGGCCTGATTCAGATGCACCTTAGTCTTCAAACTGCTATCACCAGTCCTCAATAGAGAGGTCCCTAACTGTAGACTTTGCCACTGCAATAAGTTTTCCTGATTTCTTGACTGCTGGTACAAAGCGTGATGACTATGGATCCAAGAAAGATGAATTTTTGACAGTTTCAATCTTTTCTCCATCTATCATGATTCTACAAAAAAATATTTTGTTTTCTTGACATTGAACTGCAATCCAAATTGAAAGCTATGTTTTAATCTTCTGCAACAAATGCTCCAAGTCCTCACTTTCGCAAGCAAGGTTGTGTCATCTTAATAACACAGGTTACTGGTGAGTCTCTGCTCTTGATGTCACAGTCTTCTTCATAAAGTCTAGCTTCTCAAGTAATTTGCTCAGCATACTGACTGAATAGGTATGGAGAGAAAATACAACGCTGACACACTCCCTTAATTTTAAACCATGCAGTGTTCCCTCCCTTGCTCTGTTCACACAACAGCCTCCTGGTGTAGGTATAGGTTTCACATGAGTACAATAAGTGCTCTAGGATTCCCATTCTTTTTTCTTTTTTAGTTATTATTGTTGTGTACTGTCAAATCGTATTCAACTGGCACAGGAGGAGATGCCCCTCCTTCTCCATGGGGCATCTAATGTATTCAAAGGATTCCCATTCTTCTCAATGTTAGTCATTAGTTTGACAGTAATGGATTAGTAGGTATTATTGGTTCAGACTTTGAACTCTATCTCAAGGAAAAAGGTATTCACAAGAAGTGTTTTTGTCTTCAAAGCTCTGGAAGTTCCTAAAATCACTGGTCTCTTTATCTTTATTTGCATGTATAGAAATACAAGGGAAATATCTCTAAATTACATCAGCCATTTTCTAAATTTTAAAATGCTAAGTTTTTATTTGTAATATTCCTTGAAAATTATTTGTCCATATAAACAACCCTCTTTGCTGTATTTTCACTTTCAACAGAGAGGGGTTTTGTTTTCACTCTATGATAAGTTGGTTTAGATTAAGCTGAACACCATTTTTCTTTTCATTTTCCTTATTAGCATCTTGTCTGAGAGTGATTATCTGAGAATGATTACACCACCAAACTTCTAGTTGCAACATTGCATGCAGTAATATGACTAACAAAAAGATATGGTGAAGGGGGAGAGGGGAGAAAAAACAGCAGGTCATCAGTTCATCACAACTTTAATGCAATGAAGTCAAGAGTACCAGGTCTTCAACTCTTGACAATAAAACTAGTACTGATTTGGAAATAGGGGAGTTAACTTGTCCTGCATACTTTTGCCCATCCATTTTTCTTTCCATGTTCCTGGTTTGGTGGGTTTTGGGGGTTTTTTAATACTGGTTTATTTAGAAAGTTCCTATACATTGTTTTTCACACCTGATCTTTCCCATTTCTTCACCTTTCTCCCTCCACCCATCAAATTGTGAGACTCTATAATTATGAACACTCCCCTCTCCCATCCATCCTCAGCCCTCTGCTCTTCACCTCCCTCTTCCCTTGGATCCTCATACTTATTCTACAATAATGGTCCTATACAATATTTGTCCTTATGGGACTGAGTTCACTTAGCATAATGCTCTCCAATCCATCTCAAGTTAGGTAGTAATTTACAAAATCATTGCTCCTGCATGCTGTGTAGTATTCCATTCTGTGAATGTACCATAATTTCTCAATTGTGTTTGGACATTTGGGCTGTTTCCATCCATCCTTTTATTTTTAAACTGTCATTTTTTACTCATTCACTAATGTCAAGTTGATTCCAACTCACACCAGTCCTCCACTGTATTTCCAAGGCTGTAAATTCCAACTGGAAGAGATGGCTGATCTTTCTCCCATGGAGTCACTAGTGGATCTGAACAATCAGGTATGTGCAGATAGATAGATATGTTGCTCAGTACTCTAGTGAGGTCCTTGACAGCAGATTTACCTAATGCAATTTGTCTTTTGTTTCCTGACTGCTGGTGCCAAGAGTGTTGATTGTGGAGCCAAACAAGCTGTAACTGTTAACCCCAATCTCTTCTCCATTGTGGTGCTGTCAAATTGGCCCAGTGTTGAGAATCTTTTGTCTTCTTGATGTTGAGCTTCAAACCATATTAAATTCTACAGTCCCTGACCTTCTGCAGCAAGCAATTCAGGTCCTCTTCAGTTTCAGCAAGCAAGATTGTGTCATCTGCATAACGTAGGTTGTTGATGAGTCTTCCTCCAATCCTGATGCCACATTCTTTCTCATAAAGCCCAGCTTCCAAAATGATCTGTTTTGCATACAGATTGAAAAGGTATGGAGACAGGTTGCATTCCTGATGCACTACAATCCTGATTTTAAACCATGCAGTGCCTCCCTTCTCTGTTCTGAGGATTGCTTTCTC